ATTTCAGGCATATTCAGTGAGTTTTAAATTCACGGTTTTATCATTTAGATAATGTGTTCTATGCTAAATTTTACATATTCACTGGGTTTCAATTTAGCGCATTTTTCAGTCAGCGAAATAAGCAAAATTAAAACCCAGTGAATAATTAACCTCTTTTCAGTATTACTAGTTTTCCTATTGTTATTTTACTGGTTTTTGTTTTATATGTCAATAAAGTAGTGATATACAAGGCGATACAAACTTGTACAAACACATTTAATGTGCCTTGTATAGAACCAGACACTGTCTGTCATGTATGTAGTCAAGTCTTGGACTCAATATACTCCTAACATGTAAGTTTACTTTAAAAAAACCACAGAAATTGAAATAAAAAGTTATCTAGAATATACTGATCCTGACAAATTACATCACAGTTCTATGTTATAGAAGTTATAGAATATGACACAGTAAGTTTAAAATGTAAACCGAGCATTCCAGACAGAATAAAAATAGGTGTAATTTGAAATCTCTAAAAATTCATACATATTCATACATATTCTGCTCAATGGAAAATGATATTTGTATTCTATTGACATCGTTGGTGAAAAGATCGAGGGTTGTGCTTTCTTGAACAACTGAGCAATAGGTGTGTGCAACTTATATGGTCAAATCTTCACGTAAAAGACATAAAACTAGACATATTATTGCATGTTATTCGTGTTAAGTATGTTCAAAACATGTACACATGGTCCACTTCAAAAGCACTTGTATTACATTTAACTAAGACCGCTTTGATAAACACAGCTCATGGTATTTTTCTTAGTTGACATCACCTGATAAATGACTACTGCCAAAGTTGCAAGCAGTGATACTGTAAAATACTTAATTTTTGCGTGTATTTTATTTTTGCTATTTCCGTGGGAGGAAAATACAGTGAAAATAAAATACAATGAATAAACCTTTTTTCCTATGTTTTACATTAAACTCATCAAACATCCATGAAAAAATCAGTCAAAATAAACTCCATACAAAACATCCAAAAAGTTTTTTCAGCGAAAATAATTACAACTAAAAATTTCACAGTACTACTATTAATATATTCCATGTCAAAATGATTTAGTGGCAGATCTAAACTTTTCAACACCAGACTTTCTTGCCTAAATGTTTATATATTATTCTTCAATAGTCCAGGAAATGAACCCCAATTTTAGAGCTAACAGGCAAAATTTGTGTAAATTTTTCATTTTTACTCAACAAAATTGGGTATTTTTTGTTAAAGGAATGTGCAGACTATAAACAGGACTGAACAAATCTGAGATAGGTCCACCAAAGGTATCAAAGCAAGCAGACTTGCCATTTTCCAAAAAAAGTTGAAGTTGGCACCACAGCAGAGCTAAAAATATATGTAGTATAGGAAATTTTCTTCACATTGAATAGCATGACAAATAATTCAATATTAAGCAGCTGTATTCAGTGTCAAAACATGCATCCACCACTGTAAGGATCTGCCATATTTGAACTGTAAAAGGGAGTTAACACTACACACATACATATATGATTGCACCAATAATTTGACAATAAAGTTGACAGTAAAATCTCAGGTGGTATTCAGCCTTTTGTTCTGTATACCTAGGAAAGAAAGATTTGCATATTATTTTTAGAAGAGCTGAGTCTATACAAAATGGCCTTTGAAAAATACAGAACAATCATAAAGTCTGGGTTATTTTTCTGAACGTGATCAGTATACAGTCAGACCTGTGTTACAGACCACTTCTATATAAAGACTACCGGCCTAGAGTGACCACTTTTAGGCAGTCCCAAGGCGTACATGAAAACCTATAATGATCACCAGTAGTATGTGACTACCATTTTAATGATATTTTTGCAGACATGCTGCTTTTTGCAGACCAAAACAATATTATTATTATTATAATTAGCATTCTTTAATTTTTAATAATTACTCCAATTCAAACTTATTTGGTTTTGATCGAATCAAATAAATGTTGTTTTTTTTATCGAACGATATCTTATTTTTTGAACAAATATTATGCAAAATGTATGAAGTTTGCGATCCATACAAAAAATCAACATATACTATACTAATCTCCATATAAAGACGACCAGTCTAACTTAAAGAAGCCCCTTGGATTGTTGCTATACGTGGGTTTGACTTTACATCAAGGTGTACATACCCATAATTCCTGGCATCATATTGTTGATATATGGCATCATTTCATCAAACATGTGAAAAAATAGTATGTTTTGAATTGTTGGCTCAACATAATAAAAATAATAATAATAATAATGAATTTATTACATGCTTAGAAATAGTTTCCATTGGTTGACAGTAATAAATGTTAGTAATAAAGTACATGCACATATAAAACTAAAGTAAAAGTAAAATTTCAGTTATTGTACAGTTCTGATTTCTGATTGTTATTCACCAACTTGTCTTATTAATGTCTTCTCTTGAACTCATAACATAATAAATAACTAGACATCACTTTTAAATTCTTCTGGGATATTGATATTATTAATAACTTTTATCTTTTTGTTTGGTACTTATGACATTCCATGAAGAAATTTTCTTCATTTTTAATTTTCATCTGGGAACATTGATTATAGATTCCGTTTTTTAAAGGTGTTTTGGGTTGGGTATGCATTTTAACGCGCTACAAAATTTGGCTCAAATCAAGTAACGCAAATGACTAAACAGAAAGCACTGTGAATACAAGACAAGGTCAACTGGTCTGAATACTCACTATAAAGAATTACATAATAGAGTTTGCGTTAACAAGAGCTACAGAGTCTAGCACTGCTGCTTTGTATTTTTGACATGATGACCTATGGTGAACAAAATGACCTTATGAGTACCTATGAGCAGAACAATAAAAAACACAAAAGATGTAAAGTCTGCGTCACTTTTTTGTATATCATTATTTCCTGGGATAGTTTTTGACAATGAATTTTTTACTGTATTATATGTATAGAACATTAACCATTGAAAACTAAATGGAAAATGGCTTGAAGACTGTTTAAAGCATATTTTGTAAGAAAAGTAATTCGGTGACCAAACATTTTCATCTGGATTTTGTGAGCAACACTACAGTATAACAAAACATGAAAGCTATCTGAGATACCATATTTCCTCACATTTCAATAAGGTTTGTCTCAGTTGCTCATCAAAACTTACATGTTGTAGAAGGTAAAATGTAGAGTATCGTACTGTAAAATACTTTATATAAAATATTTATGGATATATTTGGTGGCAAATAGAACTGAATTTATACGTATAAGTACTGACAGTAGACAAGTAGACATGCTGAGGGATGGACAGATTGATGTAAGTAGGGGAGACGGACGGACAGACTGATGGACAGTCAGACGCACGGAAGGACAGACGCACGGACAGACAGATGGTAAGACAGATTGACTAGTGTATGTAAGATGCCTGTTTGCACTTGAACTCAAACACCATGACTCAAAACAAGTTTCGATAGAATTGGCCTGGCAATTTCAAGTTTTGTACACTGTGAAAGACTTTATTTTAGCTGGAATATATTTTCGCTGAAAAGGCTTTTTTGTGTGCTGTGTATAGAATCTAATTTCATTGATTTTTGATGAGTTGAAGATAAAACATAGGAAAAAAGCTATATTCACTGGATTTTATTTTCACTGAATCATCCCTTCAGCGAAAATGAAGTAACAGTACCATAAAATCCCCATTAATTTACATATGTGTCACTCATAAAATAAATAAATAACTTTTGAATAAGTTATTACAAGTATTAATTGATCCAATTGATTTCAGCGAAACAAAAGTCTACAGGACAAGTGTCGCCATAGCAACATGCATACCAAAAAATCATTATTTTCAGAATTGCTGGAACGGTTTCGTTATTTACGCTAATGGTTATACTTATAGCAAGAAAATAAAAACTGCTTATCTAAAAGCTTGATTGAAATGAAAAACAACAGTTTCTAGTCTGTAGCCACAGACTTGTAGTCTATTTTTTGTTGATTATTTTTGCTTATTATGTAATTTAATGGTAATTTCCCGATTTCTGATTAGTAAAGATTTTGTCTGTCAAATGTAAGTTTGTACCTGTCTAAATGACATGCAGACATGTGACTGGTGATCTTAGTTATTTAATATTTCAAAATTACTCATATTTTAGCATTAACAGCCAAAATACTTGTCAAATGACATTGTGCTGGGATGACACCAGCAAAATATCAGTCTACCTTAAAAGTACATCTTTAATAATAATATAAATAAAGTTGATGTCACAACTTTTTTCAGTCTAGATTATCTCTGAAGGTTTTAGATAACAAATTTTCCTTATACACCATAAACATACCACTACATGTGGATAATTATCAAATTATAATATTGGTTCAGATTGCTGTTTCAGTTTGAATTGTGAAAATGAGTTGTCTCGACAGACAGACAGACAGACAGACGCATTTTTAGCCTGTGTTGTTATCATCACAACCCCTTCACTTAAAATATTTAAAAAAAATAAGGGAATGCCTTTGTTGCACTGAGAGTAGTTGAAGTTTAAAGACATATTTTCGACGTGTGTAAGTTTGTTCCCCCTGCTAAACATTTGGGGCATGGATGCTCATTAACATATTCATAATACTGTCTATATGTGCCTATTTACGCAGATGTCGGACATTACAAAACCCACAGAACAACACAAGAATGACGACATGTACAGACAGTTGTGAATTTGTTTTCAGTCAGCCGTCTAAAACACAAATAGGACAGTTGGGCCTGTTGTTATAAGAGTATTTTTTTCTCAATTTAAGAGTGTATAATGTGGTGTAAGTACGTCTAATTGGCTTAACACCCAAACCCTGAAGACCGTTTCAAATTCCATGTCGCATTAATTTACAGGTGCCCTGGGCAAGTGGTTTTGTCGCGCAACGGGAGCTGAAGTAAACAAGCATTCCGTCGAAAACAGAGCGAGAAAGGACTTTGTTTTGTTACGGATTCGTCACAAAATCGAACTCACCGTTACAGAAAGCCACCAGAACAAGACACAGCATCTGGGTCCGCTCCATTGTTGATGTATGGAACTACGAGTAAACGACAAAATATTACTATGTAATAGTGTAAATGTTCTAAAACAGCGACGTAATGTGCGTCACTGTCGCCATTACTCAGTGAAATGAAAGTAAAATGAACAGCGCCACCACATGGGTATCAACGTTCTTGAAGCTCATTGAGTTACCGCCCAATTGTTGAATTTCTGAGAAAATGGGAGCAATAAAAAGACGATGGATTTTAAAAATGAAAATAGATTTCGAAAACAGAAATGAATTTTAAAAAAAAAATCAAAGAAAGCTTAGAAAGAACTCCCGTGTGCTGAGAGTATTGAAGACACATTAAAAACTAATTCAAAATTACTTGTACATGTACATGAGATATTGATGTAAAAGCTGAAAACTAATTATGTAAATTAGGTAACTAATATGAACAGAACAGAACAGAACAGAACAAAAAAAATATGTATTATTATGCTACTTAGAGAATTAATATTAATCAAAATTAATCAGGCCTGTCTATTGTCCTAGAGCATTTATGTACCAAATTTTATTCAAATGTGATGATCAGTAATTGAGATATCAGTGTTAATTAATTATGTTAATTAGGTGATTAATAAGCATATTAAATATTTACCAAAAACTAATTGGGTTTCTGCATAGTTCTCTTTAAAATTTTCATTAAAATCCAATTTGTGGTTCTTTATATATCAGTGGAACATTATGCAAATTAGGTAATTAATATACTATTAAAACTAATCAGGTATCTGCATAATCCTAGAAGATCTATGTAGCAAGGCAAGGCAGACAAAGGCTCAGCTATTGTGATCATGGATACAGAATTTTATATTTCTGAAGCCAATAAACTTTTGGACAACACTAAACATTACAAAAAATTAAAATCAGATCCGACCAACAAAATCAACAAACTTATTAGGGGAGCTATCGAAAATGAACTGGTTGAAAATAATATCACTAAACAACAAAGATATTTTCTGGTTTGCAACAACCCTAGTCCTGGTAAATTCTATATGCTGCCTAAAATCCACAAAGAAGGGTCGCACTTCAGACCAATCATTTCAACTATTAACCACCCTACCCAAAAGATATCAGAATTTGTTGACCACTATTTACAGCCTTTGGTAACATCCTTGGAATCACATATAAAAGACACTACACATTTCTTACAAAAACTAAACAACTTAGGTCAGATTCCTAGGGGTAGTCACATGGGCACTTTTGACGTGACTTCCCTCTATACAAATATACCCATTAAAGAAGGTATTCTTGCGTGCCAGGAAGCCCTTGACCGCAGACCAGTTAAGACTCCTCCTACATCGACCATAATACGTTTCCTCACATTAATTCTCAACTACAATAATTTCACATTTAATGGTAACAACTATTTACAGATATTTGGCACTGCTATGGGCCAAAAAATGACACCGAGTTATGCCAATATCTTTATGGGCAAACTTGAAACCAATCTACTATCACTAGCACCAAGCTTTCCCGTTTATTATTCTCGTTTCATATACGACATTTTCACAAATTTTACCACTAACCAGTCCGATATTAACCAATTTCATCAGTTTATCAATACATTTCATGACACTATTAAATTCACCGTAGAATATTCACAATCAGTCATTTCATTTCTTGACGTTAAAGTTCACATAGACCAGGCAGGCAATATTAATACCGACCTATATAAGAAACCAACGGATACTAACCAATATCTACATTTCATGTCATCACATCCTAGGCACATGAAAACGAGCATTCCATATGGCCTCTCATTGAGAATTTGCCGTATTTGTTCCAAACCTGAGTGGCGGGATACTCGTCTGAACGAATTAACAATGTCGCTCATCAGACGTGGGTATCCCGCTGAGCTGGTTACTATGGAAACTAATCGTGCCAAAGCAATACCGAGATAAGACCTATTGTCATACAAACCACAGTCCCTCTATCAGTGATAGAGGGACTGTGTACAAACCTAAACAAAGTGACTCTCGTATACCACTCGTAACTACATTTAATCCAAAACATCCTAATATTAAACAAATCACACACTCTCACTTCCACATTCTGCAAAAGTCGCCACGTTGCAAAAATGCCATATCACAACCACCTTTAATTTCATACAGTCGCAGCAAAAATCTCCGGGACATTCTTGTTCACAACCAACTAAAAAACCCAACTCTCCCATCTGGTTTCACAAAATGCGGCTCTAAGAGGAGTTGAAATGTTTGCAAATTTTCACACAATACTACCAATTTCCATAACACCACAAATAACAAAGTATATACCATAAAGCACCCCATCACTTGAACAACTAGAAATGTCATTTATCTCATCACGTGCAAACGATGTCAAAAACAATATGTTAGCGAAACAAAGACGGAGCTCAGAACCAGATTTAATAACCACCTATGGACAGTGAGACACAACCAAGACACACCAGTAGCCATGCACTTTAATAAAACCAACCACGACATAGACGATATTTCATTTATTGGCATAATAAAAATTAACAAAACAGACGACCACCTTAGAAAAAAACTTGAGTCTATATGGATAGATAAATTGATTACACAAACACCACTGGGCATTAACATCCGCCAGTGAGGGCGCATTTATCTAACAGCGCCACCTATTACACCTATAAATAGGTTTCCACCCTCTACATGGGTTATGCCAATTTACATCTCACGGCATCCCAACAGAGGTAAGTCTTTGGAGTATTATTATTATTTTTGTAAATACATTGTACTTGTAATCACGTTATTTTCACTGAACCATTTCAATCACAATCATTTACACATTGTATCTATTTGTTTTACAACAGTTTTCTTGAAGAAGCCGTATTTCTAGGGCGAAACGTTGGAATAAACATCACAGAACTGACCAGGTGTATTGTCGTGACAATCCTTGTGTTATTTGCATATTATCAACCCTCAATACTAGCTACTGGGGATCGTCTGATTTAATATTGTTGATTATTATATGAGAATAATAGTAGCGTATAACACACAATTCACTCTAGCTGAATAGACTGAACTTCGCAAGTGAAAAACAAAATATGTCAATCTAATAATATCTTAAAATGTCTTTACACTATCATTGTGTTATAATTGTCGCGGAAGCCTCTCAACTTATCACACTTCAAGTTTTCACTTTAATATGTCTCTTCGTCGGCGTTTTTGAGTCGTTTCCAGTTACTGAGACACGACTTAGGAATACAAAAAAGAACACCGGTACACACTGCAAAAGCAGTTCCTACCCATGTATAGATAATTGACTGTCCGTATTTAAATGTACTTGCATGGTACATCTCGCGTGTTCCTATCACGTACCACACACTTCCAATTAATAGAAACACAGCTGAAAAGAAACAGACATTATTCATTTGTGAAAATATTCTATAAATACTTCTTAAATCACGAA